CCACCGTAGTCGTGTTCTCCGACATTTAAGATGTTTTCGATTCGGTTGATCGATGTGCCCCTTGGGGCTGTCTACACAGGAAAGCTGTGCCCGAGACATAGGTGGACATTATCAGAGCGCTTTACTCGCATAGCTCCGGCAGATGTGGGCTTACGGCAAACTGTTGCCACCCTGCAATATCTCCAGCGGTGTAAGATGAATAGGCCCGCTGTCACTTTTCTTTAATAGCTTCTCCATCAACGAACTTATGGAAACTGCATTCACTGGACCTGCAAGGCATGAAGCTACTCCCACGTGATCGGCTTCTTGCTTTGGAGTACGCCGACGACATTGCCCTTATCTGACGGCTCCCCAACGTGCCAAGTATCACTGGACAACTCATCATTGGCTGTCAGGCCTTTCGGGCTATACTTTGCACTGTCGAAATGCACTGTCCTCCCAGATTAACGGAGACCCACCCCTGCGCTGACCCTTGATTGGGATCAGTTAGAAGTCATCGGGGAAGTTCAAGTATCTAGGCAGCTGTATCAGCCTCATTGAAATGGAAAATGAGGTCACAAACTATAGCAAAAGCTCGAGTTGCTTTTGCCAATCTCCGCCACCTGTGGCCTCGGGCAGAGTTTACAGTCCAGCCGTGCGTTCAACCCTGCTGTACCGTAAAAAGTACATACCTTGTCTGATGTCGTTCCTGTCTATAAAACTGCCAAAGAATGTCTCGTGAAGCTCCTTCTAATGTTAGTCTATTTCTGCCGCCTCCATGCTGCTCGGAAGCACTTTGCTTTAGCTACTCAATGGTCCACATTACTTGAAATACCGGTAGCTCGGGTTGATTGTTCATTAGGATTTGCTCTCTACACAGTAGCACACTTATGTTGTCACGTCGATTGGTGACTAAACGCTTGCAACCCTGTTCCCAAGCTCGGCGAGCGCGTAGACACTTTCTGTTCCTTGTGATGGTTAAACTTGGAACGAAATTGTCTTCCGCGTTCACACCATTTGTATATTGCTCTTACATTAATACTTACTTAGACTCCTGAGCATCATCATATATACAACGAGTTTATCTTTGCTCAACTTCAAAACTCTTTCATTTGCTTGTACTTGTTTATGGCGAGTAGTTAGTTTGCGTCAGAGCCAAAGTATATCATATTCTCTTCATCAATGTTACTAATAAGTTGCCTTGGCTTGGACACGTACTACGTATGCCATGTCACCGCTTATCTAGGACGGCCTTGCTTTGTCTGCCAGATGTAGGATGACGCAAGGCTCGCGGTAGACAAAAATTGACTTGACAGCGTGACATGAAGTCACTGACGACCAAATTGGGTGCCGTCGGTCCGTCTCTCCTTCCTGGCTGGGGTCTACGTGACCCTCTTAGTGATTGGCTCCAGACGTTACACCTGTGGTATGTCTACTGTCGTCTTCTAGTCGGACTGCCTGTTTCCAATGTGTCTGATGCTGTGGCGTAACGGCTCATTAAGACGCGGGGCATTGAAGGCCGCAACGAAGCTGTCTCACTGATGCCGCCTAATCTTTGCACGATGGCCAGCTGTTTGTGACAGTGTAGGCGCCTTGACCCTGAGTGTTTGCTTATGGCATTAAGGTTTTCCTGCACCTCCTTCTCTCCCTTTTCTTATTCTTTATTCCATAGGTCATCTTGGTTGTATGGCAGCGAAGCATCAGTTCAAATGGCTGATATACTGCTGTTGTTGATTGTGTGTTACTGAGATGGTACTTAATGCGCCTTATATTCTTCTGTCTTCGACGTAGGAATTTCGTTAGGTAACAGACCTCGTCTATCTACATGACGATGTTTATTGTTTTGAATGGAATCCAGGCACTTTGCTAGCGCCGCTGTGTAATCTGCCACCGCTCCGCACTGCGGCACATGTTTTGCGAAATTCTCAGCTTGCGTTGACCCACTATCCGTTGTCACTATCACCCATCGGCAATGTCACCGGTGACCACGCCACTGAGCTGCGTACTGCATTCATTTGTATCGTTTGTGTAGCTTTTAGCAGCCTCAATCATTCACTGAGATGTCAAGATGTTGGCTTTCAAAATTTACACCGCTGCGATACGCTCTTATTGTTGTGTCAACTGGAGGACTTCAACTACTGTTTGGTCGCCGAATTCTCTGAATTCTTGTTCATGCTTCCTGGGAATGTCGAATGAGTAATACCGAAGTTCGTCACTTGGTGTTCGTTAACATGCCATCTGGTGCTACACTGGAATGCATATTGCAGTGGAATCATCTACGCTAGCTGAGCCATGTGAATACATACACACTTGCCTACTGCATCGACGCAGTTCGCTTGCCAGCCTTGTACCTTATTCGACCAAATCCTGGGAGAGGCTACTTATTAATATCGTGAAGGAGCTCACAGAAACGCTGCGTCGGTTCCGTGCATGTCGTCTCCTTTGATGTGAGCGTAGGCCAACTCAAAACTTGGTCAAGAGGAATGAAAACCTCAACTTCGAACTTGGCGTCGATCGGTGCTTCCCGTCTGCCCGGCTGGGGTCTGAATAACCATGATACGCTAGCTGACATAGTGAAGGGCCGACCTCAGTGGCGTTTATGTCGCGAGTCTCTTTGGCCCTCCCCCTTCAGCCTCCTCTCCAACAACGATCCCAAACCAAGTACATAATACGATATTTAGTATTATGTTACTTTTTTGTCTGAAACGTATTGCGGCACAGCTGAGGTGTGTTCCTCACCCTCAGCTAATGTGTATTGATAATGATGATGAGGGTTTCCTCATTGGCCGCCTCTGGTGTTGGATACTCTTCATTGACTGTCACACTTGTGCTGCTGTTGGCTGATATCGCATGCAGACGTAGCTCAAACAGAATTAACAGACATAGAGCCAATCACGCGTTCACCGCGTGTCCGTCAGTGGGTCATGCGATCGACAATAACTGCCTGGACTGGGCGAGTAGTTCAGAAATGGCAGAACAAATGCTGTTCTGGGCATAGATCGAGTAGACTGGGGTGTGTGGTGTGGCAAGCGAAAACCACACGTGCGTCGCTGAAACCAAAGGGATAGCACAAGGCTTACACCGAAGCCAACTCGATACAAATACCCAACAGTGCGCGATTATTTGAGTTGATGTGCTGTATGAATGACCGTTAACAATGCTAACGAAAAACTCGGGCATATTTCTTTCTTTTATGGCGCAACACGGCAGCATGGTTGCTCTGCTTTATTCCTGTTTGGCGCTGTACATCAAGACAGCTTGATTTGTCACATTTCGGCTCACGTATCATGGCAGAACAACTCGGCTGAACCTTCTATTTTCTTGTCACCACTTCGTTTTATTTCTAGTCATTCCCGTGGTATATTTCTTCGTTTTTCCCATTATTATGTTTTAGTGATCAGATTCGCCGCGGCCCTCATTTCCAGGTCAGCATCGCGTGCTTGCTGACTTCACTGACCTCGTTCATAACTTGGGTACTAAACTAGTTCCTTAATTGTATCTTATCTGTAAACCTCGTTTATATTTACATATCCTTTTATACTAAGCTTGAATATTGCAGTTATTCTTTTTCTGACTCACTAATTATTTCACTGCATGGTGAATTGGCTGATCAAACCCCACATCAGTCGGGTCGAACACAATTAAACTAACATGCTAAGTTGGGCTCTTTTGATTATGAGGTCATTTTGAAATACACACTGTGTGGATGGATTGTGACATGCAATCTCAATGTTGACCGCGATTCCCATTGAAGCGAACCTTGGCCATTCGATCACGAAGACCGTAACTGAAGCAGTTGGAAATTGGGTGTTGCGCGTGCAGGGCTTTTTCCGGACGGGCAACACCCAGTTTCAACTCAAGCAGAATGCCCATTTGTTACCTCCTTCATAAACATAAACAAAACTCGGAGCTTTAAGCGAACAATTGTTTTCGATTAACTCTTCGTCAGGCTGATACGATGATGTAAATCAGAGTTAGGTCTGTTTCAGTCGTCAGCATAACAAAGAAACAACTGATCAGAAAATTTAACTTGTGATCATGATGGCAGTCATCTAATCACATGACTGAAGTCAGGTGGAGTTGCGGAGTACCATCACTTCCTTCCCATTTGATGGTCGGTCACGGAAGTTGTAATGTTTGTATCATCTTCTGAATACACAAGTCCGGGTTTGTCAGGCGTATGCATACTGCCTCAGCGGTGGCAAGTAGGCTTGCTCTTAGACGATGCTTATGCCTTGGTGGTATTCTGTAGAGAATCTGAAATGATGTTTGTTTGTTTATCTAGTGGCCTCTGTTGACTATATGGTTCGTAATCGCGCTGTAGTTTGTCCTGTTCTCGCGATTGTAGAGCCAACCTGGGAGGTGTTCCTTAATTCTTACCTAAATGCCTGGTCGTCCGTCCAATGTACCTGGCCCCGCACGGGCACGTGAACCGGTAGATTAACATTGATTGGAGATGATCAGGCACTCGGTCTTTGAATCTCGGAACTAGTGAAGGTCTGCTCGTGAAAACCACATTCAGCTGAGCCGCATTAAAGGTCTTTTTACAGCTTTGCTGTAGTCGACGCGTGCATGTCTCAGCTGCACTATTTCATTTCAATGGAAGAGTCAGGTAAAGTTGTTTCTTTTCAACGGTTTGTCTTGATACTTTGGTATGCATCTCCTCATATGGGTTTCGATAAATCGCTCCGGATATCCATTTTCGAGAAGCGCTTCTTTTGGATTATACCATCAACCACTTCCATTAGTCGCATATTTCTAAGGCATATTACTATTTTTCACAATCTGTCCTTATTACGACAGCTCTTTGAACTTGTCTACACAGCCGCTTCATGTCGAATTTTTCAATCCAGTCCTTTAGTAATGTTTGATTAATGTGCAACTTTGTCTTAATTTGCGGAAGCATTTATCTTTTGCTGAACATGAAAATGGTTATTGTGTACACACTTGCATTTTTTGGAAGCAACGCCAGTCAGAGCAGCCGCCATATATTCACCGTTTTTCATCCTACACCAACTCAGTTTGGCTCCGAAAATCAGCTTCCCATGGAATGAGATCCGAAAACTGGCTTATTCCCATTCCAAATTCACAGTGAAACCCACAGACACTCAGGGAAAGGTGAGCCCTTCGTGCATCATCCGATACCTTGTCTACTCTGCTCTAAATCATTTTTCTAGAGAGTTCTGACTTTCTTATTCTGACATGCATGGCATTTGCCACTGTTGGTCTCTAAGTAGACATCAGTATATACCTTTGGACCCAGCATGGTATTTTGTTAACACAGTACGACAGATACATTAATTAGTTTTTATCCTGCTGCGCAATTAAAGATATCTGGTTTTCTATCGACACTATACCGGATCCTCTACCCGGTTGCGAACCTCCGTACAACTACCTCCGCTAGGTTAACGTTTTTCGACTTTGCCAGACTTTCTCCGCATATGTATTGCGGTCATACCATCCCACTTGAATGCATCTTTATTACTATTATTGTTATTATTTCAAGGCTTCTTCCAAGCTAGTCCCATGAGTCACATTGACATTGACGTCACATTGACATGAGCACTTCCTAAGTATGTCTGTTCGCTGCTTACTGTTCATTTGAACAACTGTGATCCGAGCACCGAAGTGTGGATCCAGTTGCCCAGACTCACGTCGCAAGATTAGCAATAAGTATCAATGGCAAGGTAGTGGGGTTGTTTGTAAAGAAACTGGAAGCAAGTAGAAGGTGCGTTAGACCAATCAGTATGAGACGAGAATTAACCACCAGGTGCAAGAAACCGAATGCAGGAACGCCACTACGCCATGTCCGATAGGGTCTCTAACCATTGGTATGGACCATCTCGGAGATAACCATCCACTAGCCTGACCAAGTCTTTCAGTCAATTTCTTGCCTCTCTGTCTCGCGGTTTCGTTCAAATCGATGCAGCCACGGCGTACAATGCGCGCTGAGGAAGTCGGTCAACGTGCCTACCGAGCACATGATTCAGTAAACACTCGAATGAGGTAAAGAGAAGCTTCTTGCCAGAACCCAGCCGGCGGACCTGAGCATTGATCACCCGGTGTTCCCACCAGATGTGAGCAGTATTACCCAAGCATCGGTGAGCAAACACGGCCGAGCGAACTGGCCAAGTCTCCATACAGTAGCACTGGCCTTGTCGTAGCATTACACACCCTACCTTCCACTGACAGGCTGATATCCCGTCGTCTCCATAGATGTTTGAACCTCTTGGAAGCCACACAGGCCTTGTTGATACGCGAAGTTACCTCCCCAGTGATGTGACGACCAGATGTGACACAATTAGCAAGGTAAGTGAAGTGTTCATCACTCGCCTGAATGGACGCTTGATTCCCAATCAAATCCGAAGTCGCTGACCCCCCACAGGAGAGAGAGAAGACCGGATCGGACGAGCAGTGCAACAGGAATGAATTAGCAAATCACACCGTTCATTTAAAAGGTAAAATGGAAAGTTCGTGAATAGCATTTAAAGCGACCGTGGAAAGCTCTGGAAAGGTTAACTTACAGCCAATAAAGGAACTTCGACCTAGCGTTCATTGGCCGCTTCTCCTGGTTGGCTTTCTGTTCGCCCCAATCAGGGCGGATGAGTTTGGATCGCCGGTCGCGGCGATGGGGTCCTGGCTTGTTCGACTCGCGTATTCCTTCCTAACACTTCCCTCCTTTGAGTTGTGTTGTACGATTTCAGCTTGGGGTTGACTTGCATGGGTGACACGAATTTGCGTCGCCGCTTCGGCCTCTGTGCTGTCAGGTTTCGGGGCGAATCAGGTGGTTGATGTGTTGGGGCATGTTGGGGAGTTTCCGCTTCACCTGCGTCGGCCAGTATGTCCAGAGGTAATTGCGCTGCTGGTACTTGTTGTTGCAGTTGTTCGCCAGTCGCCGCAGCTGATTGGCATGTCTTACCCAAATGTCGTCCCAACCTGGATACCGTAGATCACGTTACCACGTTTGTATAGCACATGGCCCATAGCCCATTTAGGATAGTGGATGCGATAATCTCTCGCCAGAACTTGTTGACCAACATTAAAGGTTCGCTTCCGAGCACCGTGTCGGATGTTGAATTGACGCTCCATCTGATAGTTGCGGGACAGTAACTGATCCTTCCTGGGTCTGAGGGCATCATACGGCACACGGATTTTCCTTTGAAACAAAGTTTCAGCCGGAGATAGTGCGTTTGGTGTCTGCGGATTCGGAGTTGTGCGATACGTCAGGAGAAATGTGTCAAGAATCTTCTACAAGGTACCTTCCCCCTTCATTTTTAGGCAAAGCTCTTTTGAAGTGTATCCACAAAGCGTTCCGCTTGCCCGTTCGATTGTGGGTGGAAAGGTGGAGACCTTAAGTGGACGATCGCGTTTCTGTGACAGAAGACGACAAATTCAGATGAGGTAAATTGTGTACCATTGTCGGAAACCAACGTCTGCGGAACACCGAATCGAGAAAATACCTGTCGGACAGCAGAGACAGTGGCTGCTGCGGTAGTTATCACCATTGGAATCACCTCCGGCCATTTACTGTGGGCATCGACAATGATGAACAAATGGTGACCATCAATTGGACCTGCAAAGTCGACGTGGACCCTTGACCATGGTTCCGTTGGTATTGGCCAGGATTGCAATTCCGTCTTCCTTGGTTGTTTAGATACACTAACACATCGGGGACTATTATTCGGCTAATTCTCGATCTGGGTATTCATATAGAGCCAATACACATAGCTTCGTACCAGCGCTTTCATGCGATTCATTCCTGGGTGGCCAGTATGACATTGTCGGAGGACACTCTCTTGAATGATGTGAGGAATGACGACGCGATCTGAGAATAGCAGGCAATTTCTGACGACTGATAGTGCTTCCTTGATCTTCC